GTGATAGTTGTTCAGTGAGCAAGATTTGTTGGTTTACAGCTCCTGCTCCCCTAAACACTCTTTTGACAGCTTTTTGTCAGTCATGTCATGAGTTTCTCAGGAGGGGAAGAATGGTAACAATCTGTCTCCTTGAGAAGAGAAACGGGGAGAGAATTTATACGCCGATCTCATTATTTTAATTGTAGCATGTTCAAAATCTCGTAAAACATCAGGAGCAATCAAGGAAGCCACTAGGAGCCTTGGAGCAGAGCAGGACAATGAAGAGAAGAGGGAAAATATGTCATTGTACATAATCCAGCCTGAAATCAAGTAGGCTTTTGAAACCCTCCAGGTCTATGACTACTGAGAGAGGAAGAGCGCTCTTGGGACTGGGCCTGAAGCAGTGCTTCTTGCTTTTGGTTCGCTTTGCTTGCCATAGTGAAAATCTAGTCTGGGCTTAAATCCACTCCTTCCAGCTTTAGGAAGAGTTCAGTTTAAAGCTATTGGGCTGAGCTGAAGTGTGCTCATCTTTGCAGATCCTGTGTGTGTGTCCAAGCCACATGAACTGCTGCTGAGATAAACCAGAGGTGACCAGGGCTGAGCCTGTGGGCTTACTGGGCAGATGTTAACTGACACAATAGCTGTGTCCCAAAGGCTTCCACCTCAGGTTTTGGCCCTCAGTTCACAAAATATCCCAGATCCTTTTGATCAAGACCCATTAACATGCTCCTGAGTAATATGTGGATAGGCGTAATCTTCACAACACACCTAAAAAGAAGCAGAGCCTGACTTAGAATCATAGAATAGTTAGGGCTGGAAAGGACCTTAAGATCATCCAGTTCCAACCTCCCTGCTGTGGGCAGGGACACCTCACACTAAACCATGGCACCCAAGGCTCTGTCCTGGCCTTGAACACTGCCAGGGATGGAGCATTCACAACCTCCCTGGGCAACCCATTCCAATGCCTCACCAGCCTTACAGTAAAGAACTTCTTTCTTATATCCAATCTAAACTTCCCCCATTTAAATTGGGAGACAAGGAAAAAAGTGCTTTTTCCCATGTCAAGCTGGGCTTTCTGCTGGCATGTTTCTTTAGCATTACTGCTAAACTGGTGGATCAGATGAAAGCCAGTCAAGTGGAAGAGAGGGCTGTGCTGAAGCAAACAGGCTTTCCTGTTAATTGCAATGCTGCCAGTGTTCTTCCAGTCACTTACTGCATTTGCCCAGGTCCTCTGTGCCAGGTGAAAATTTCATCATTGGGGGAATTTATTCCATTTCCTTTTATCATTTGTTATTGAAGAAGTGAGTGGATGGAGTTCCAGAAACGACAGGGTGGAATCAAAACAACAGCAAATCAACACTGGAAGCTGAAATGGAGGCATAAGCAAGGATTGAGAAAGGCCCGTATTGTTCAGAAACTGCAAAATGTGCAGGGGACTTCAGCCTTCTGAGGAAGTGAGCAGCCACTTAATGCTCATGGCAATGTGCAAAAGTCTGTAAGGGTCTGATGCTCTAAAACATCTGACTGTCATTTTACAAAGGCAAATGCTAGGGAAAGGGAGCGCTGTAGGAGTCTGGAATCACAGCCACGTAATCGTCCCTTGTTTCAGAAGTGATTCTAAACCAGTGAGGGAGTTTAAGCTTTGGGAGACATTTTGCTCTGTGTTTGAAAAGTAAGTGACGCTCCAGGGGGAAGTGGGAGGCAGTGATGTAGGACTGGGTCATGTGTTTGGGAATAGCCAGAATAGAGAATTTTTGTCTTTTAAGTGCTGGATTTCTGGTGAGCTCTTGGAAGGGTTATTTGCACTCAAGCATTCAGAGAGATCAGCCTGGTTGTGCTCTTGCTGGCTTTAGTGTCTCCAGCAAGTCGGAAGGGCTTTCTTTGAGTAAAGGCAGTGGGAATGCTGGATCTTAAAAACCACCACCTCTTAACCTCTGCATGTCTCAGTTTTGCTATCTGTATGATAAGCATCACCCTGCCATGCTGTTTGCATCTTTTCTTATATTCTTTCCATGAAAGTTGAGATATAAATACTAAAAATTACCCTTATTACTAAATGGATATTATTCAGATATGAAGATGTGTGTCCAGTACATGCAGGGGGGCAGCCTGATTTCCATACCAGTGCTGAGGGTTTGCAGCTCTCTAATCCAGTTCCCTTTAAGTGTAGTGGAACAATTCTGGTGGTTTGTTTACTCAGCCTGCTCCTTCTGATTGTGCCTCTGAATCCCTGGGAGCTGCAGTTTCTCATCTCATGGTAGATTCTGGTTGCAAGTGCTTGGAAAGCAGCACTCCTGCGTGTTTGACTTTTGCCTGTTTTGTGTGAAGGTATTAAATAGCAAATAGAGTAAGAGAAAACCCTTCCTGTCTAGGTGCTGCTGGAATAGAGGTTCCCACTGCGTCTTTCCTATTAGCTACACTGAAAGCTACATCTCTTTACATCTCCAATCTTTTTCATTTGTCATGTGTTGGAAGCAGCAGAGGAAATAAATGTACAGTTTCATTTCCCCTTTAGGTACTCAGCTTTTCTCTTGCGCGTTGGTTGTCCTGTACAAAACCGGTTACCTTTTTGCATGGATTAGTAAGTGTCTTAACCTAATTTATCCTGCTAGCCCAAGGCAATAGAATCATGTCACCAATCACTGATTCTCTTCTACCCACCCTGCTGGGGGGTATGACAGTGAATGATACTCTTATAATGAAATACAAAGAAACTGAATTGAAACAAGCTGCAAATGAAGGCAATTTTCTTTCTCTGTCAGTAATCAAATGACAGCCAGCGATGTGTGTTTCTGAGGCAAAGAGTAAACTGCACTAAACAGGCTCATTTTCTTGGGGTCATCAGGTTGCTCACTCATACCTAGGGAATGCTGGATCTAGGAGGGAAATCTGACGTGGCTGCATTCTTTTTAATAGCTGGTGATGGCCAGTTTTTGTTTTGCCAGAGAACTGGTGGATTTTGCTTTGTTTCTTTCTATAAAAGACACATTCATGCCCTATGCAAAAACTCCTGCCTCTGAGCTGGGATCAGAGAGTAGAAAGGGCTGAGAGGAAGAAGAGGAGTTACGTGGTGGAGGCATTAGTGAATGGGAACTGCAGGCTTTAATGTACTCCGGTGCTGCAAAGTGGGTCTTACTTTGGGAAGTCTTTCTGCAACCAGGAATAAATCCAAAACCTGGGAATCTCAACCTGTTGGATTAGGTAGGACTCTTTCCTTCTGATGCTAGCAAAGAGCAGGATCTGCTGGACTAGAAGGGTGATGTGGTGGAGGGTTGTGGAGAAAACAAAGGTGTTATTCTGGCCTGGAGTTCCCTGAAGACAGAGCAGGCTGGTGTTAGTGCCAGGGACACAGTGCAGAGGACAGTAGTTACGAGGGCTTCCTTTCTGAAGATCCCCTCACTAGCTGCCTGCTCTTGCTATTGTAGGGAGGTGGAATACCCTGTTCTCATATTGCAGGGGAAGGAGAGGTGGCATTGGGGAACTCACAGAAGAAAACCCAGGGATCTGAACTGAACTCCAGCATCTGGACCTCAGTTCTGCTCTCACAACACCTGGTTTGAGGTCCCTTCCAACCCAAACCATTCTAGGAGTCTGACATTCCTGTGACTCTTGCTTGTTTTATGCTAGCCTGACTTCACCAAGGGCAGCAGAGCTGCTCTGTGCCTAAGCCAGAGTGGAAAATCCAATCCAGTGACTCTCTTTCATGCTTCAGCTTCCTGACAGATTCCAATAAAGCGGTCTTACCCCTCTCCTCCCACTCAAATAACATAATACTATTTATTTAAAAATACCATCAAGCAAAGGACACAATTCAAAAGCTCTGATTTAGGAAAATTGCTTGTTTGCTAATCATTTCCTTTTCCTGATTCAGAGCTTGCTTGCTCATAAAATATTGATATATTGGGCAGGCAGGGATGCTCTTGGCAATGAAGATGAAAAGCAGAAGTGCTGATAAAAATACATAGGCTTTTTTATGCTTGTGCAAAAGCTAAACTTTGGAAAGGTAGCTTAGAAACTGGCAGGCAGAAACTATGAGGGCTACAGGTGAAGTCAGACCAGAGTGGAACGAAGATATTGTGGGACAGAAAAAAGTGGAGGGAGTAAAAGGGGAATGGAGATGGAAAAAAGCAAAAGCAAACCGGGCAGGAAACTGTTGAGCTGCAGAGATGGCTGGGGAAAGCAATATGTTTGGAATAAACAGCAAAAACTAGGAGTCTTGAAAAGCCAAACCAGGAGAACAGAAACAGAGTTGAGAGAGCCTGCAAACATGAAAAAAAAGGTGTCCCTGCCTTACCCTGGCTATACCACTCTCCCCATTTTCATAATAGGAGAAAGAACACAAATGACATGGAAAAAAGTATACTTGAGACTGTCAGAAGGAAAAACCTACCTCACATGTGAGCTGTGCTGGTTGTTTCTGCTGTGTATCTCTGAAAGTCTGCTGCTTTCTCTGAAGAGTGGCTATTTCTGAAGGTAGAACATCCTCAACAACAGAAAGAAGGTCTTCTATGGAACAAATTGTAGGCCTGTATTTTGCAATTTAGACTGGGAGGAGAAAAGATGGAGTTAAAGTTTGGGCCTGGAAATGTGGGGATGCTGAATCCAAGAAAGGAATCTCTGCAAGTCCTCCATGGAGGCTGTAATGCTAAATGACCAGAGTTGTTACGGATATGGTGACCTTGTGCTAGCCTCATGAAGAATGCTGCCTAGGAGGTGATGGACTTCACCATGAATCACTCATTCTGTCTCAAAAATGCAAGGAAAGGAAGTGTTTCACTTCCTAGCATCAGTAGCCTGCCTGTAGACTTTCCCTTGTATGTGCTTATGGAGGGAATCCAGCACACCGAAGATCTTTTATGTATGAGGGCTGCATAAATGAGCTGGGTCTTCTTCCCTTTCTTGCCTTTATGTGTACTATGCTATAGCAACCCTATTGCAGTATAGAAGACCCAAGCACTCCTATATCTTCTAAGTATTCCTGTGAGGCCTCATGCAGAGGTGTTTTTCTTATTCAATCCCAGTGAAACAGTTCCAGAAGAGACACTGAGGAGAGCCAAACAGATCGGGTTCTCAGACAAACAGATTGGGAAATGCCTGAAGCTGACTGAAGTCGAGTGCCGTCAGCTGAGACTGAGGAAGGATATAGTGCCCTGGGTGAAACAGGTACGTGAGAACATCACTCTTCAGTGGAGGCCTCCAGAAGTGCAGGGGGCAGGAGATCTCTGTGTTAGAAACAGATGAGGTAAACCAAGTGGAAGCCCTGGCTCTGTTAACATCCCTGAGCATTTTGACATTGACATTAGAGAAGAACAAATTTCACCCATGTAGCTGTGACTTCCGTACTGCAGGCATCAATGTAATGACATGATCATCCCCATGGAGCGACTCAGAATAGTCTCGTTCATATTCTGTGTGACTGGGGGGAAACACAGCTCTCTGGCTTCAGGGAAAGGCTGAGTGAGAATGCTGACCCTCCATGGTGTGACCATGAAAAGTGTCATATGTCTTTTCTTTTGGTAGTAGCTTTTTACAGGCTAATACTTTATTTTCATTATGCTGTTGTTATGGGTTCATTTGCTGTTCATTGTGACAGCACAAGCATAATGAGCTCATCTAGTATTCATGGCAGTGTCATGAGTGCTTTGCCAGGTGTTCTGCTGCTGCATTTAAGGTATGTTGGTATTGAATTGCCATCAGTTGTTTTTTTTTTGCCCTTAAAAAGGGAGGAAAAAACCCCAACCCAAACTACTGAATGTATCTGAAAGAGCTCACATGTATCCTCAAGCCCAATTCCAGGTGACATGAAGTACAAGTTGCAGTATTAGTAACAGTGATGAGCAGCAGACACGTAGTGCTAATGACATAAGGTCACATTCTTCATTAGTCACAAGGATTGGGACAGGCAGTGGAAATTCCTGAGAATACCTGGGACAGGTTTTTAAATGGTATAACATGTAAAAATTCATGTCAGGACTGCTTTACTACAGCTTCCTGATCAGTATTCTGTGTAGAAATGGTTCAGCTCTTCATTCAGGGAACTTCAGCAGTCGCTGCTGACCTAGATGGGCTAGTTACCATGTATAACATGCAATAAGTAGTTGACACAAATAGATTGTGAGCAGTCTAGCAAGCAATTATTCTTCTGGGTTCTCTGGTGACTAATTGCATAAGAAATTGTTGAAAACTACATATAAGGGGTGGTTGAAAATCCCTCTTGCTTTGTGTACCATTTAATTATCAAAGCATGAGTTATATTGTAACATAAATACATGGTACTTGCACTGCTTGCTGCTACTTGGCATGATCTCAATGTAATATTGTGTGTGTGTGTTAGTATTCAGCGTGGGAGTGAGACGAGGTCAAGAGTATAGTGTGAAGATCCCAGAGCAGCTAAAGGGGGCAGGAGACCTGGAGGAATGGAGACCTGTGTAGTTAGTAATGCCAAACTAACTAGAGAATGAAGGCCTCAGCAAGAAGGGATGGGCGGGGAAAGTTCTTGGGCTGTGAAGGTATTTACCAAAGAGATGCAGAGCTAAAACTGCAGCTCAAAAAGAGGTGGTAGACTGTCCTGCTGACTGCACTGTGAGGTCTTGGGGGAAAGCCAGGCATATGCTGTGTTGCCAACCCAGATCACCACCTTTTGAGGAAAGACATGATGGGAAAATAATAGGGGAGAACTAGGAGTAGAAAAGGGTTAGTATGTCTGGGTCTCTGAGCAAAAGCAATCCCACGAGTGGGTTTGCGTTTACCTGAAGCAGGAATAACCCAGACTGCCTTCCCCAGCAAGTTCTTTATATGCACAACTGGGACTTTCTTTATCCTCCTTTATAGTATGTAAAAGTTCTGACTGGGCTGGGCCAGCCCTGTTGGCAGATCCTCTGGTACTGACCAGCCAGGTGGCTTTTGGTAAATGTGCATCCCAATACTCGAAAGTCCCACCACTCATTGCTCTCAGTATAGTTTTTAACAGCCCATTGTACCTTTCAGTTTTCCCAGAGGCTGGTGTATGGTTGGGGATGTGATATACCCACTCAATGCCATGCTCTTTGGCCCAAGTGTCTATGGGGTTGTTCTGGAAATGAGTCCCATTGTCGGACTTAATTCTCTCTGGGGTGCTGTGTCGCCACAAAATCTGTTTCTCAAGGCCCAGGATAGTGTTCCGGGCAGTGGCATGGGGCACAGTGTATGTTTTCTGCCATCCGATGGTTGCTTCCACCATGGTAAGCACTTGACGCTTGCCTTGGTGGGTTGGTGGGAGTGTGATATAATCAATCTGCCAGGTCTCCCCATGTTTGTACTTCAGCTGTCCTCCATACCAAAGAGGCTTTAACTGTTTGGCTTGCTTAATTGCAGCATGTTTCACACTCATGAATAACCTGGGCAATAGTGTCCATTGTTAAATCCACCCCTTGATCACGAGCCCATCCGTATGTTGCATCTCTGCCCTGATGGCCTGAAGTGTCATGGGCCCACTGGACTAAAATGTTGCAAGCCATGATGGGAAAATAATAGGACATGATGGGAAAGGGATAGGAGAGAACTAGGAGTAGAAAAGGAAAGAGGGAAAAGAAAAAACCCAAAACACTTGCATGTAAGAAAGATCTTGCACTGTCCAAGTTACAGTCCCTCCTCTTCTTCCCCATACAGATTGACACACTGGCAGCAGAATACCCAGCTGTAACTAATTACCTCTACATCACCTACAATGGGCAGGTAGGCACGTTTGGAAACGGCAGTCTCGTTGCTGTCTAGTTTGATCTCTTTCCTGTGTGCTGCATTATTTCTGGAGATCTTGCAGGGGTGTAAGTGTCTGTAGCAATTATTCTGGATGGTGTTACTTATGATCCCCTTACAGTGGGCCTGACGCCTTCTCTTGCTCAGAAACTGATCCAGTGCATTTAATGTTAATGCCCCTTTCTTGTTATGATCTCTCATGTATCACCTGTACTTGCATCCTCTCTGCACAGGCCAGGTGCTGGGAATACAGAACTCATGTTTCACTCATCTCATCCTAGCATTCATTTTCGTGTGAAGCTTAATAGCTTCTTGCACTGCTCAAATGGCCAGGTCAGTGATGCTGTGTCTCCTTCGGTTTGGGTGCAGCACTCTTAATTCCAGTAGGGTTGCACTTGACTTACACTGCAGTAAATGAAATCAGACTTAAAGCCTGAAGAATCAGACTGTTAGATATGGGCTGAGCACCAGAAACTGTTCTGAAAAGCATGGAGTTAGGTGCAGTGGAATACAGATCCTAATGACTTTTCTCCCTCCCTTCTCAGGAACATGATGTAAAATTTGATGACTGTGGGGTGATGGTGTTGGGCTGTGGACCATATCACATAGGTAAATCTTTCTTACAACTCCTCTGTTCTCCTTGTACCCTCGAGTCTTCTTTGGATATTCTTGTGGTTCATTTGCTCCTCCTCTTATATGGTGACAAAACCCTCCAGAGCACAGTGCACAGGACATCAATTCCTAACACAAGGTTTGCCTTTTACACTTACTTGGAGTCTTCATTTCACACCCTGGAAAAAACAGGAGAATTTTATTACTTTTCACTGAGTCACCAAGTCGTGATTTCCACAAAGTTTTAGGGATTTATTTTTAATCTCACTTTTTGTGCATGTTAAGGTTTTGAGAATCTGATACCTCGTGTAGCAGTTTATTGCTCCCATACCTGTCCTATGTGTTTACTGCCAGCTCCTGACTATGTTGTTACATACTATACGTTTTACTACTTTAAGTATAGGTGACTATGACAGTGTTTGGATACCTTCAGCTGCTTTTGTTCAAGCAGTTCTCTCTCTGTTGTTTTTTTAGCCCACTCATATGATTATGCAGCATAAGAGTTTCCTCGTGGCTATGAGTATTGAGCAGTCAGACTGCTGAATCCTCTCTATGGTGAATTTCACTTATTCTTTTAAAGAATCTTTCCAAATAGCTTGCAGTTATTGACAAGAAAAAAACTGCTTGTGATTCAGAAATATTTTTTGCTCTGCCTCTCACAAGCAGTGGTGATGGTGTTTGAAAGCTGAAATGGAAAACTGCATCCATTAGTTTCGCTTGGATGGACAGGTCACGTGCCACGCTCCTGGTGCTCATTGCAGGATGTGTCTTTTTGCACTCAGTTTCCAGTAGGAATGTTGAGATAAGTGAAATCAGGAGGAACACTCCATGGTGATGCTTATTTTTTTTATAAGCATTTCTGCCAGTCAGGTGGGGTTTAATGATTTGATCAAATGTATGTGAATATATTTTGCCCTTTTCACCTAAAACTCCCTATTCTGATCTTAGTCTTACCTGTTCTATAGCTTTGATTAGATCGAGACAATGTTTTGAAAGAGGTTACAACTAAATAAATGCTGCAGAAGAAAACCATTCCTTGAACCTCTAAAAGATTTCCTTTCTAGGTGCAATAGCCAAGTTGATTTTTTTATTCCTTTTGCAATCCTTTGAAGGCAAGTGAGCAGCGTGCTTTTCCTCTCTGCTTTCAGAACTGTAATCATAATTCAGTGAAATCAAGTTAGTGTTCCCTGTGGATTTACATTAACAGAAGAGGAACGGGTCAGAAAAGGGCTCAGTGATTTAGATGGAAGATAAACATGTGATGTTACTTTTATTTTAAACAAGATTCCTATTTCCTTTGTGAAAACTGAGAAACGTGATGTGAATCTGCTCAGCTGCACACTCTTGAACTTCAGAGCTGGCTTTGAGGCACCTCAAAGCCTGAGCTGCAGCGTGTGACCTGTGCTCCATGGCGTATTGCTCTTCACTTGCTGCCTGTCCTGGAAGGGGAGTTTGTTTGTGTGAAAGTCAGCCCTGAAAGCTGTGTAAAACTGTTTCACCAGCTGTGTGGACCAGCAGCATGCTCTGTAAATTTTAAGGTGTGCATGTAGGTTTAACATGGTTGAAACCTGAAAGTGAGTTCAAAACCATGACTGTATTGATGTAGCAATTATCTTCTGAGGAGCAGTGTCTGTTTATGTTGCAACAAACGCTACAAGTATTACTAATTATTTGCTGTCTTCCCTTTTCCTACTGTTTAGACTTGAGCATTACCAGATGTGACTGGAATATATTTACAAGTGTTCAGCTGTTTTCCCAGGTTGTATCTGAAGCAGTCAGATGGGGACTCCAGGTGACCATTGTGTCCTAAAGTTGAGGTTTCTTACGTGTATAAAGATTTGATTTCCCTCCTCTTCTGTGGAGTTTTAGCAGAGGCCTAGGCATGTTTTGAGGTTCGTTTTTGAAGGAAGTAGGGAAATAAATTTTGTGTTTGTGAGTGACCTGTGACAGCCATCTGTTTGTGACTAGGTACAATTAAGCACAGGCTGAATTTCCAACATATCTTGGCACACACTTACATAAAAATAGTATCGGTTGTTATCACGTAATGACTGTGAATGCATCACGATGAGGCCAAGGTTTGTTTTGTAGACTATAAGCATTACTATTTAGCGATGTTTTCTAATATGCATCATTCCGTGGTTGTGGTACTCCTCCTAGATGTTTGAGTGTTGAAATTTATGGGACAGTAGCTGTTAGAACAAGTCTGAAATCCAGCACTGCCTGAAGCCTGCAGCATTGCCTGAGTCTCAAGTCCTGCAGCTTGCCCAAGACCAAGCCTCAAGTTCTGGTGCTCACCTCGCCTCCCTCTGTGCCTCTTTCTTTAGAGGTGGCTGCAGCACTTACTCAGGGTTCAGGACAGTAAGGACATGCTTGCCTTTCAGTGTTGCCACAGTCACTGTGGCCTTTGAACAAAGATAAAAGGAGCACAGAGTGGCTCTAAAGGTGTTGTGCTACTGATTTGCCTCATCTAGGGTCACCACAGAAGTCAAACCCACTGACCTGCAGTTTTTCTGTTGCTAGGTTAGCTATACTCTGCTCTTCTGGAAGGTACAAAACACTTCAGTCTTCTGTTTTTTAAACCATATCTGTACAAATATTTTGTGCTTCCTGGAATAAATGTTACTATCTTAGAATAATGGGCACTCAATTTGGTCACCTCTAAGCTTCTGCCTCGTATCTCAAAGCTCATTGGTTGGGAGGCAATAGTAGTGGGATGGGCAACAAGAGCAGACAGAAGTATTTATGAGCACAAGATGACAGACATAAGTGTTTATGAGCACAGGATGACAGGCATGTTATAGAGGCCTGTCACTCCTGAGGAGCTGAGCCAACTTAGCAGTTGTGCTTGGAGGCTCACGTTTGTGGATCGTTAGTTTCCATGGGAGGACAATTAGATTTCTCGTTCTGAGATGACAGGAGGGAATGCTGTCCTGGTTCTTTTTCTTTTCTAAACTTGAATGCTGAAAATGTCTGCTTATGTATTCTTCTTTGCATCTTTCCTTTCCTTGCCCACTTTTCTGTCTCCTGGCAGGCAGCAGCGTGGAGTTTGATTGGTGTGCTGTCTCCAGTATCCGCACACTGCGTCAGCTTGGCAACAAGACTGTCGTCGTGAATTGCAACCCAGAGACAGTGAGCACAGATTTTGATGAGTGTGACAGACTGTACTTTGAGGAGCTGTCACTGGAAAGGATCCTGGACATCTACCAATATGAGGTAAAGGAAAGCAGAAGCACAACAAAAAGCCATGAAGCAAACCGAACTTCAGAATTCATGTCACTATCTTGCTTTGGTGGAGCAGCTGAGGGAGAGGGGGAAGAGCTTGCTAGTAAAAGCTGTTTGGTTTGGATCCCAGTGTTGCATTTTACACATCATTGATGTTCCTAGCAGCCTGCTCAATAATGAATGCCAAATAAATATTAAATTATTTTGCAAGATGCCATATTGTGCAATATTTACAAGCAGATTTCATTTGCTGCACAGTCATTTATCGCACAAATTGTTCTGCCCTTGTGGTGCTGAGCTGTAGCACTTAAGCATATCCTTGACTTTATGCACAAGTACTCCTCCTGAAGCAGTAGAATAAGTGATGGGCGTAACACTAACGTGTGCTCAAGAACCTGCAGTCTTGGGCTTGCAGTACAGTGGTGATGTGGTCCAATGTGCAGGCAGATCAGGCAGGGGCATTAGAATGGCCATCAAACAAAAACATGATCCAGCTCCTGATCCAGACATGGCACTTGTCTGTTAAGGAGTTTTCAAGTGTTCAGAAGTGCTGATACTAAGAGATGAAGAAGAGTCCCAAACAGATTTGGTCATGGGAAGATATATATTATAAACAGCTGGTACCAGTATGATAAATATTTCTAACTGGTAACAAACTCATTTTGATTTGTGGCTGAGGGTTTCAAAGGTATTTACAGGAATCTCACCTCCCTTGAAGTTCAGTGTGAGTTGACAGTATAACTTAGTGAAGCAACTCTGCAGAACCCAGCCCATAACCCAGGTTAAATCCATAACTTTTAACTTACGATTCTCTTATGCCTATTTTCCCCAATATATGACAATTTGAGCTTATCTCCTTTATGAATGGCTGCAAGTTTCTGAAGTGTTTTCTATATGTTTGGCTATGTTTGATCAATCCCAAATTTGGAACCAAGCAAAAGCACATCCATATTCAAGGCCCAGTCTCTAGGCTCTGTTCTTAAACAATTTGCAGAATACTGTCTAGGACCATCTTTAGATTGTGTGTTCACACTTTCCTATGTGTACATGTTGGTTTAGCTCTTTAGATTTTCATAAAATGAGACCGTCCTACTGGAAAGCATGGATTTAGGACAGGCCAAAAGACTCTTGTGGAGTCTTCAAGGCTGGTTTTTGAGCGAGGCTTTGAACTCTTGTTTGCTTAAGCAAAACTGAACTGCTGAACTTGAGGCGTGGAAGAAATTGCTGGGAGTTTGTCAGACAAATAACGCTGATGAAACACATCATCTAATTACTGCAGGATCAAAGAGGAGGTAGAGATAAGTGATGAGGGAGCAACTACTCATTTAAACACATAGTGCTAGTAATTAGCAAGTTGGGTAAGAAAAATGTGTGAAAAGAATAATGCATATATATTGAAACTTGCATCATCCTGCTTGTCACAGGAGAGCTTGGTGAGTTTGATGGGAGGTGTTGCAGATCTCAAGGTCTAATAGCAGCATCCTCTGGTACCCCAAGCTGAAGAGGAAGAAGACTCTGGCAGTTTCCACAGCTCAGCCAGCTGTGCTCATCAGAGGGACTGTACTCATGCTTCTGGGCATGCACTTAGCCTGTTTTGCTTGTGAAGTAAGCCAATAAGTGGTTGTAAGAGCAGAGAAGGCACAGAGAAGCCAGCAAGAGGTGGTGGGAATGAGAAGGGACAGAAGAGATGTGCTGAGAGTTAGCAGAGGATTCTCCTACTCTGACTTCAATCAGAAAACAGCCAATTTGATATTTACTGTGGAGGTGTTAAAGCCATCAGGGGGTCTCAGCCTCAACATCCAAAGTTAGGGTTGTGCAGGCTAATAAATCCCAAGATGAATAATAAACAGTTGTTTTACAACACTTAAGTAGCAACAGAAGGGAATGGCATCATTATGCCTAGTTTGTAAGTAGGGAAATGGGGTCTGTGAGGAGAGGCTGCAGAGAGTCATGTAAAAGGACATAGGCAGACCTGGGGACAGGCTTCAGACCTCCAGCAGAGTGTAGTCTAAAATACATTATTTGCTATGGATGAGCCAAATGCTAATATCCTGTTAACAGAATACTCCCTCAGGCAAATGCAGTTGGAAGCCAGTCCCTAAGGAAATGATCAAATTAAGAAGTCAGGATGCAATTCTGAGACTCCTCACCAATCCTGCAAATAACCATCTCTCCCAGCTTCATAGACAAAGCATGAATAATGCCATGCTTTCAGACTGATCTTTTAAATAGTCCTGCTCATTAGCCTCCTCTGGTGTTCCAGTCTACAGTGAAGAGAGAGAAATACTCTGAAAAGTCCTGGATCATTGGCAAAACGTAGGTAAAACCATCACAAAACCATGGAATCATAGGACCACAGAATGGTTTGGGTTAGAAAGGATCTCAAGATCATTTGATTCCAGCCCCCTGACATGATCCACTAGAGCAGGTTGCTCCAAGCCCCTGTGTCCAGCCTGGCCTTGAACACTGCCAGGGATGGGGCAGCCACAGCTTCTCTGGGCACCCTGTGCCAGTGCCTCAGCACCCTCACAGGGAAGAGCTTCTGCCTAAGAGCTCAGCTCAGTCTTCCCTGTTTAGGTTTGAACCCATCACCCCTTGTCCTATCGCTGCAGTCCCTGATGAAGAGTCCCTCTTCAGCATCCTTGTATCCCTCTTCAGACACTGGAAGCTGCTCTGACATCTCCACGCAGCTTCTCTTATCCAGGCTGAAAAGCCCCAGTGTTCTCAGCCTGCCTTAGTATGGGAGGTGCTTCAGCCCCTGATCATCCTCTGGACTTGCTGCAACAGCTCCACGTCCTTCTTCTGCTGGAACACTGGAACTGCACATAGTGCTCCCCATTTCCCTCTGTGCAGCAGATACATCAACTCCCTAAACATTTTTAGGTTAGCAGCAAACCTTTGACGACTGTTTAGCTCAAATAAATAGATGTATTCACTTGTTCCAATTTTTCTGATTAGATAAATGAAGCTCAACTGGGAAGCAAGGTAACCACCGGGATGGTAGGCAGGTTCCAGCCACCTTCAAGACATAGCTTCACACTTAGATCTAGTCCTACCACAGGGATTTAGTCAGCCATCCCTCCTCTTTCTCTTGTGTCCTCCTTTTACTTCTCCCCCTCCAGTCGACATTCATAGCTCCTGTGACACTGGGGACAGCACAGCCCTGCTTTGGAGGGAAGTTTAATTTACTGTCAATGTGCAATGTTAGGTGGCAGTCTATGAAGACAATAACTTATAGAAAAAAACTAATCCTTCCTTCAGATTTATTGGCTCTTTGTTTCCAGAGAAGATGTTCCCTTTTTATTTTAATATCTATCTGCTTGAGGGCCTCTTCTGATTCTTTTTCAGTTTCTAGGATCATTCTGAAACAATTCATAAAACTAAAGGAGGCTCTTAGGTACAATTTTAATGGTCTAATTTGTTTTCAAACTCATGGAAGAAGAAAACCCAACTGTATTACTAATGACATAAAAGCAAGGTAGTAATAAAAAGACTGATTTTTGTTATAAAGGGGAAAATAATTCTCTCCAGGCTTCTTCCACGAGATTATGTATAGCATATATCTTAAAGGTATCTAATGGCAAAGATGTTATTCATTTTCTTTATAATTAAAATATGGCTGATGACAAAGTGGTATGCAGTGAAGTCTATTTCTGCCTGTCCACATTCCTCAGTGGAGCAGTCCTGTTGCAGGGCAGTGGGCTGCTCTTTGTGTGAGAGTATACTTTGGGAAATAACAGTGGAATTTTAAAGGAAGATGGAAGCAGCAGCTGGGTCTCAATTTATGGTTCTTTTGGAGTAAAAATGAGTGTATGATTCTTTGCTATCTTCTTGAATAAGCCATCTCCTCTTCCTCCTTGGGGCTGGAGTCCCCATTGCCATTCCAATTTGGAAGTAGGCACTATTTGGACTTTAGAGGCTCAGTGACTTGAATTGTTTTAAAGGAAGAAATATGCAGCAACTGAAGAGAAACTGTTAGCTGGGACATTCACATTTCCAATGTGTTGAGGATAAATTAAGATGGTTGACCTTGGCAGCAAAGCTAGGTTGACCTGTTATCAAACAGAAACCATTCCAAGCTGCAAGAAGGGGGTTTGCATATTCACTGTCTGGTTCTTGTCTATGTGGGATGATAAGGGGCCCAGGGACTAGAGGTAAGTACTGTATTTTGGATGGGTCTGGAAGCAGTGAGGAATCGATTTTTCTTCTGAGTTGGAGATAGCAAGCTCTGATGTTATCAGAAAACCCCATGTGGGGCCAAAAGAGTCTCTGTCCTTGCTTCACCCTCTACTACTCCCTATCCTAAGCTCTTTCAGGTGGCACTGTTGGCTGGCAGCAGCATGTGTTCCCATGACTGCATGGTGAAAAGGAAAAGAAACTGTCTCCATCACTGTATATTAGCATGTAAAGCAAATAGTGATCTTGCAGACCTTTGGATAATAAGTGCTGCTTGAATGCCAGACTTTTTTAGTGGAGTTTTATTATGGTAGGAAATTAACCACATTAAAGTTGAGCAGGGTTTGTAGTAGCACTTATCATCTGGTTGTTCTCAGTCACTTCTAGTCCATCCTGCTCTCAGCTTACAGATCTGCCACTTTATATCCCTTTCAATCCCTCATTAAGAAGTTCCTCTTTCAGGAAGGCCAGTGGGGCAAACCATCTTCAGGAAAAACACACTTGTTAATTAAAAGAACACTGGTACTATAAAAGAAAGAGCCAAGCCATGAATCACTTGATTTATGTTTCTCATTTGCTAAAGGTGGGTAAAACTGTGAAATACATTTGGTTCCAAAGAGCTTTTTCACTGCAGTTGTCCTGTGGGTCTGGTTCTCCTTTGGGCAAAGCTTCACCAGCTTTAATTTGGAAGCAAAGTGCCTGTTATTGAATTACTCGTACTTATTACGCAATCTAAATGTAACTCAGGGCCACATAATTGTTGCAGGTTCTAAGGCTTTTTTTAACTATTGAAAGATTTCACACCAGACTAGGTTGTGCTTGAAAGCATTAGGGGCTCTGTGTAAAACTAAAATGCCCATATTTGCCCTGAAGAAATAGTTGTATTTGCAAGCAAGCTTACCTGGCTCGCGTTATTTGCTGCTTATTATTTCCTCCCTTAAAATGTGCTTACCCAGTGACAGACATGAAATGTGCCATCTGTGGCTGGAGGATGCTGTGCCTCTTGTCTTGCCTTGTTCAGTTCTGGAATTGATGTGCTTGCAAATAGCGGAAAAGAGCATATATGGTAGTTTGGCTGAAATAGTTGTTTCTAGTAAGTGTGCTACCAAAAATGAGGAGCGAGGTAGGAGTAATGTGATTGAATTAAAAAAAGGGGCTAAGTGTGTCCAGAGTAATTCGCCATCACAGGCTGTCTGATGGATTGGGCTCTATTGAAATAGACTCGTGCTTTGCACAGGCCAGCAAGGAATCAGCAGTGAGCACTCCTTAAAGACTGGCTTCTGGAGCTAGGGAAGGTTGGTTGCTGAGCAAAGTACAGTGCTGGCAGAAAAATAAAGATCCAGTTGTTTCCCATTGTCTGTCTGCTGGAGGTTACTTCCCTTGCAACTCTGTAGGGAAAAAAAACTTTGGGTGCATGTCTGTTACTGTGGAAGTCTCTGACCATGAGCATGGGAGAGGCTGTTTTCTTGTAAGAGCTTGACTGAGAAAGAAAGGGAACCTAAAGCATCTCGTTTGTTCATGCTGCTGGGTTCAAAGGTGGCAACAGGCGAGTGGAAACAGGCTCAGATCTGATGGTCCCCATATTCACATGTGTAGGAGAACACAGAAAGGAGACCTGACCCCACCAAGCAGAGTTTTGAGTTTCATTGTGGGATGTCACACTTTCATAGCACAGCGCCCTTTCTGTGTGAAGCAAGGGAGCATATGTCAGATCAACGCTGGGAAAGCAGCAGCAACACCTAAACATGACATGAAAAGAAGGTAAGTCTGGCTATAGCAGAAGTTATAAAGTCATGGCTTGGTGTCAAAAGGCTTGTGAACACTGCATTTTTCTTTGGTTTCCTGGGGAATTTGACCTCAAGTTACTGTTGGGTTTTGAGAGGATATTGCTGTTTTAGAGAGCCTACGCACTCTGAATCACACTTTGTAGCCTCTGGGTCAGCACAATTATGATCTACCTTTGCTCATAGCAACCTGAAGAGTGATATAATCTAAATATTGGATTCCTAGTTATAGCAGCTCTTAATGTTAAGCTGACTTGGACATGACTGTGCCCCTTTCTGTCTGCCAACAGGGATGCAGTGGTTGCATTATTTCTGTAGGAGGGCAGATTCCCAATAACTTGGCAGTTCCACTGCACCAGAGCGGAGTGAAGATCCTTGGCACAAATCCTTTGCAGATTGACCAAGCAGAAGATCGCTCTGTATTTTCAGCTGTTCTGGATGAGCTGCATGTGGCCCAGGCTCCCTGGAAGGCAGTCAGCACACTGGTAGGTTGGGATATGCATTTGGGAAACAGTAGAGCAGTGGGGCTTGTTATGAGCATCTGCTCAGGGTGGACCAACGTACTGATAAGTTTCAAGATTCCAAATACGTTTGACAGCTTTTTACTGCTGATGGTAAGGAACTTTTTGACCCCTGTAAAGTGGTGCTATAGCATCTCTGAGAGTGGGATGGAAATTGGAAAGGAAGTGTCTTTAAATCACCTTTACTCAACATGGCCTATAAAGCCAGCAGAAGTCAGCACCACTCTCAGGCTACTCTAGTTTACCCAACTGGCCTTGAAAACTGTTCCAGGAGGTGGAGGTGGCAAAGAATTGGAAATGTGTCAGCGCTGCTCTTTTTTTCCTGGTGAAGCTCTATGAACAGGGAGGATCTGAAGATGACAACTCTGGAACTAAGAAGTGATGTATTACGTTCAGGCCAGGCTGTAGTCCCTGATTTTCTCCCTCACCCCCCAAGTCTTAATGGCTGATAAAGTGCAAATGCAGCTAGAGGTGAAATTTTGGAATGACTTCAAAATATTTTCTTGTTCACAGCATGCTTTTCCTCCCTTTCTTCTAGAGAGATGCAGTTGAATTTGCAAGCTCTGTGAGTTACCCATGTTTGCTGAGGCCTTCCTATGTTCTGAGGTAAGGCTTAACCATCGGAGCTCATCAGTTTTGGGGTATGAACTACCCCAACTACTTTGAGACAATGGAGAGTAATTTCAGGGAATGTGTGGAACATACTGTGCTAGGTGCATGTGGCATAAATCTTAATGCATGTGCCACCATCTTAACAGGGATGGCAACTACATAAACCAATCCAGGAAGCCAGTGGATCCCTTATGTTCATCAGGCACAGATCAAAAGTAGAACATAAGTGTAAGAATGTCTGTTTAGCTGCATTATCTTTTCCATACCTTAAGGCTAAACCCACAAGCCATTTATGTTACTTAAGGTTCTTGAGACTACTACCTGTACGATTGAGCCAGAAGATTGTTTGGCACCAGGAAAACCAGAAGGGAACATGCTGAGGCCATTTTCTGGGGTTGGTATCTGTTTTCAGAATATGACTACACATCTTTTGAATTCAGCTTCTTATTTGCCAAGCTTCTCTGCTTACAGGCATGTTTTATGTCCCTAGATTGTGGCAGCTGCTCCTCATTAAATAAGCATTGTGCAGCGCCACACACTTCCAACAGCTTGACTTTCTGAAGACGTTACAGCAGCGCATACCCACAGCGAACTTGTGCCTTCTGAGTGATCACTCTTCTCTGCGAGGAGTTTCTTCAGAGCTGGATGACTAGGCACAGAGAGACAGTTTGCTGGGCAGTTTACAAGTGAAAATAAATTGGAGACAGGATCCTTTCCGCATGAGAAAGAGATGCATATCAAAATGGAGAGGCACTGTTCATTTTCAGGGGAGAAAAAACAAAACCCACACCACCTTTGTATTTAAAAAGAGAAAAAGGAGAAGGATTTATTGGGTGTTCAACCCTCAAGGAAATATCCTTTAGGAGAGACTGCTGAATGTGATTTTTCTATCCAGTTTCTCAAGTTTGCAGTGGGGTTGTGAAGCAAAGCTAAAAACCAGCACTCGGATAAAGGGGAGAAGTTAGAAACAGCTCCTGACGTAATTCTTCAGGTTTTTAGGGAACACTTCTTTTAGCCTGCTGTTTCCATCTGTCTTAAATCCAGTATAGGCCTTCTCCCTGTAAGTGTTTGCTAAAGGGTGTTTGTGCAGGTTAGGGCGACTTCAGGGAGAAAGATGGAACTGGAGGATGTAAAACTTGAGGAAAGAGAAAGTGAAAAGCTCTGGCACAGCACACTGCCTGGCCTCTTTTTGCAGAACAGCAGCAGGTCCACAGTTAGACTTCATCATCCTTTGAACAGATACAGCCTTTAATATCTGCCAGTTGCCTTGGAAAACTAAATGCATTTTTCCTACCAGTTATTTACTGTGTTTACCAGCTTGCATCCTTAGCAGTGCTATTGACATAGGTCCTTGGATTTAATTGAACACTATTGATTTACACCAGCTGAAGAGGTAGTCAGGTAAGTATAATCACACAAGTACTTGTGTCTATTTATCATAGGCTGAAGTGACTGATTTTGTAGGATAGATCCTTCCTGTACTTTTCGCCACAGCTTCTGTGAGTTTGCCCATCAAAACAAAGAGGAAGCTGAGCATCAGTGGTAGAAATGACCAACGTGACATCATTTTCAAAGGGACCTGAATCACTCACTGGAGGTTCATTAGGTATCAGCTCTGCCTTTCTTTCAGTTAAGAGTGAAACACGTGACAAGTCAGGAGCTTGCTTGGCTAATCTGTCATATAAAGGTAGTTGGCAACCCCGTGCTGTGGTATCTAACAAGCTGGTCTTCTCCCTCAAAGTCACAATGGAAGCTGATCTCGTTTCTTTGCCGTTCGTACAGTGGATCCGCAATGAATGTTGTATTCACTGAAGAGGAAATGAAGAAGTTCTTAGCAAAAGCCACCAGAGTCTCTCAGGTACCAGTCTTTGTGCTGCTATTGTGTTTTTTGTTTGCTGTATCTGTTCTGTCTCTGCTGCGTTTTCCATCTCTCTGTTTCTGTGTTGCATCTTCCTCACCCTTTCCCTTGCTTGTTTGGTGAGGAGGCAGTGAAATTAGAGTTTGACTCCTCTAGCAGGCAGACTATGGGAGCCTGTGCAAGCATCCTTAACTGACAACACTGAGATGCCCACATGGAGCAGGGGTGGAAGTCAGCTGTTGTACCCAGGCATCAATTTCTGAGCAGTTAATTATGTAAATAGATGTAGGGTAGCTGACTGGCACCCTTCCTACCCCATGCAAGCTCACTAGTAGTACGTTGTGCCAGCCAGCACAGAACTCATAGCATCTTTCACTCACTTTCTGAACTGTTTTGTCTGGCTTCTTTGACCAACTTCAAACTTCATCCTGGCATCTTCTCTCTCACCAGTCTCACCAATGACTTTTAATTTTTTAACCTTTTTAAACGCAGCAACATTTGCAAGCTTTTGCTGTGACCTTTAACTCTCCAAACCATGTGCTGAGAACTGTTTTCCTCTGATACAAAAGCAGGACTGCTGCCTGCTTGCTGTTAATCCAGTGGGATTATTGATCTGCAGAGTACACAATGCACAAGATGAAAGCTCTGGTTTCCATTTGAAATGTTTTTCAAAAGCTAATTTGGGGATTTTTAGGTGTCCTTTTTTTCCTATCAAAGGGAAGGATTTGGTTTAATACATTGAAATTTAGAAAAGAAAAATCTAAGTAATTTCCCAAAGACATAAATGCCTCAGAACATAGTAAACAACTCAAACCCAGAATTTCTTCTATACCTTCTGTCAGTGTTGTTGTACAAGGGATGTTTGGGGAGATGAGAATATGGCAGGAGAAGAAAGTTAAACACTTGAGGTTGAATGAAGACCATAAAGAATTCAACAGTCTGACCTTTCAACAGTTCAGAACAGTGCTGTAGCACCATAAACACTGCTGTCACAGGAATCTTGGAGTTAAAAATGAGTAAGTCAAAGATGAACTCTCTGAAAACACAATTGGCTGTGGAAGCCAGACATATTACTGCTTATTCAGGGGATTTCTTAGGTGATTAAAGCTTGAACAAGAGCAAAACCGTGTGGTTTTTAAGTGTATGAGGTAGCATTTCTGCAAGAAAAGATGGAATGAAAGAGAATTTGCAAAGTGATAGTATCCTGAAGGATAGGTAAGTGTGGAAGCAAGCAGACCCCTCATCACCATCTTTGAACAACTTTAAAGGGATTTTTGAAAGCAGAAGGGTATCGCTGTTACTTCCATCAGAAGGAATTCTAATTCTCAAAAGCCTACATGGTCAACCACTGGTGGATTCTTAGCAGTGCTCAGCCTCCCAAAACACCTTGCTTCCTTCTGTACTTTATCTTAAGTACTCTGCTTTGTGTTTCCAAACACATATACAGAAGCAGACTTTCTGTGCTGCTGGATGGCTTTGTGATGGCCATGGATACTCTATAGGACCAGGAAAGTGACCCTGTGTCAGCTTAACTTGTCACAGCTTGATTGACTTGAATTGGGCAGTGTTGTTCTGCATTGCTGAGGTGTTTTGTCCCTGGTACAGGAGGCCCTGCTGGGAGTAGAAGTTAATACATGATGTATTCCCAGGGAAGAGAGTGGATGTTCCCATGGGATGCTTGCATCCAGTTCTGCCACACAACATGGCACTGACGCTTGCTGCAGACATGAGTGGTTTTACACCATGAGTCTTCAGATGCTCTAGCCCTGTTCCTGCTGAAACTTACACTAGATTTCAACACTCAATTTTTCCTAGTGTAGTCAGACTGCTATGGAAAGACTCCTTTTTTCATCCAGTATTTCATATTGACAAAAACTATAGCATAGTTGAAGCTAAACCTGCAAAAGGAAAACCAGAACAAAAGTACTGTATTCTGCTTCTAAATTAGGGAGGTTTTTTTAGTCTCATCAAGTCTTTATGGCCTGTGAGTGGTCCCACTATTGTTAGCAGTGAGCATACAACTAAACCTAAGTACATGTTCAGTTTGTGGGACACTGGCTTCGTTTTTCTGCTTGCAAAGCTTCCCCTGGTTGTGCTCCATCCAACCGAGCATCTCCAGATAAAGTGCCTGACCAGCGGTGGTCTGTTGTTTTAGCTACTTTGCTGTTAGTTTTGTGTCATTATGGCATTTATGTTGCCAGTCATGTTCAAAACTTCTTGTGTGAGATGCATTGGAGTAAGCAAATGTCGTGGTTTAAACCCTAGCCAGACAGCTTGTTCACTCACTCCCAGTGAATGGTGCTGGGCGGAGAGCAATCGAAGCCCCCCTGCCTCCCCATCCCCCCCCCTTCCCCCCCCCCCCCCCCCTTCCCCCTCCCCTTCCCCGCTCCCAGAGGAACGGGGAGGAGGATCGAAAGAGTGCAACTCCCAAGGGTTGAGACAAGAACAGTCCAGCAACCAATGTACAACACAAATCACCACCGCTACCACCAACGACAGCAATGATAAGGGAAAATAACAAGGGAAGAGAATATGATACCACCAGCCAAGAAACGAGTCCCACCTGGAAGCCCGTGTCCTTCCAGGTAACTCCCAGTTACCCCCCACCCCAGGCATGATGTGCTGTGGTATGGAATACCTCCCTGGCTAGCCCGGGTCAGGTGCCCCGTCTCTGCTTCCTCCCGGCTTCCCCTCCTCCCTGGCAGAGCATGAGCCTCCCAAAGTCCTTGGTCAGGCTAAACATCACTTAGCAACAACCAAAAACATCGGTATCACCAGCACTGTTCCCAGGATGGAAGTCAAAACACAGCACTGCACCAGCTACCCCGAAGGAGAAACTTGACTGCTACTGCTGAACCCAGGACAGCAAAGTTCTATGGACATATAAAATCTTCTGGTGGAAAACTGTAGCAAGACAGCGAGTTACAGGACACAAACCCCAAAATTTATGAAACCGTGTAGGCTGTGGCATTGTCCTTGCCTGTGAATTTACCCTTGCACTGATAAATGTAAGGAATTGTCTTGCAACCTTTGGAGTTGCTCTGTTTTTTTTTTTCTGGAGGAGCCTTTTGAGCATGCACAGGCTGTCATTTAGTCCATTTTATTCTCTAATAAATAACAGGCAGTTAACAGTGGCTGGGACAGGTAAAATGTTGAGACATAAAGCTGGCCAGGAAGAATGTAGATTACATTTTTAACTGTCTGTTGGAGCCAGTGTCTGGAAGGATAAAGCACTAGAGGAGAGTGGGAAGTGTGTGCTAGCATCCTGGAAATAAGCAGGAAGAGGAAGGAAAACAGTGTATACTAGGCAACCTACTGGGAGTCAGGACAGGTTGCTCCTGGCCAGCTGTAATTAGGGCAACTCTCTCCCTGGGAGGCTTAGGAAACCCAGCAGAGAAATGAGAAAGGAATGGATTGGTTGCCTAAAAATTTCTTTAAAGTAGTAAGCACTACACAAAGTCATTAAGTCTGCTAAGAATCAATTACTTTATGAAGCAGTTATGTACAGGGAGGTGCTGGGAGGCTCAGAGGGAAGGAGAGTTGAAAATCATGGAGGTAAGGACCACTGGATCCATGCACATGTCCCACTCTCTTCTTTCTGCCATGATCTCACCTGAAAGCTCTTTGTGGCTTTTGTCCCAAATTTCTATGTCATTGTGACTTTATGGAGAACTCAGACTAATTCATCAGTGGCTTTGGGGAAATCACGACAAGTTCCCCTTCATTATTTCTTTGCAAAGTTCACTTATCTGTGGAAATAAAGATATTAATAGATTGGTCTTGTGCGATTCTGCTTCCAAAGGTTTTCTGGTAGTGAACAGTGGAGCACTTGGATGATCCCCTGATTCTCTCAAATAAAAACTGTCTTCTTTTATCTTGTCTTGATGACAGGATCACCCCGTGGTACTCACAAAATTCATTGAAGATGCCCGCGAGGTGGAAATGGATGCTGTAGCTAAGGCAGGAAAAGTAAGAACTTTGCTTTTCTTTAATATTAAGCTTGTTTTTCAGGATCAGAGATTTGTGAAAATGTGTGGTTTCAGTGATTTACTCTACAGCCATGGAGTCATGCTGAGAAGAGCAGAGAAACAAGTAAAGATGAATTCATCTTAGCTTCAAAAACATCGTGCTAGGAAAGCTCAACCTACTATATTGTATAAATAGGGGTTTTTTTTAAAGTATTGCTTAACCATTTGAAGGAATCCTTTAGAACATAATTTTTACTGGATTGACAAATCATTGGCTTCACAAATGACTTTGGTGGGGATTGTATCAGCATGTGTTACGATATTACCACAGTGTGTTAGAGAGGAAGGTAACTTTAGGAACTCCAGATGATGGTAGGTTTTATCATGTTTGCAGTTTGTTTAACCAGAGACACTAATATCATCCCCCTGTTTCCTATGTCTTGTGTCTGCTTCAGGCCTAAAATATTGGGAAATTCCTTTTTCTGTCCCTCCCCCCATTTGTATTCTCTTTTGAATACAGCTCTGTTCAGGAGACTGGGCTGGAGATGGGAAAACAGTTCATGGGAGAGGGTGAGGTGCCTAACTGCTGTCTTGTTACTGTCTGCAGGTTATTTCACATGCTATTTCAGAGCATGTGGAAGATGCAGGTGTTCACTCTGGAGATGCCACCCTCATGTTACCCACACAGACTATTAGCCAGGGAGCCTTGGAGAAGGTAGGCATTGGAGTAGCACTGAAAAGAGAGAAGAAAATCAGAGTTTGAAGCTGATTTCCCCTTTTGCTTGGGAGAGCTTGGTCACCAGCAGAGAAAACAAACCACCAGTGGTTTTTTAAAAGCCAGTGCAATAGGTGCAAGTGTAGGATGTCAGTGTGCTCCCTGTGTTTTGCTATACTGTACACAGGATCGTCTGATCATCCTTTAATTTAAGTATTAGACAGACACACTTTCAGACTCACTGTTTTTTTTTGTTTCATTGGCTTAAAACCAGCTCCTGTAGCAATAAAGGATTGTCTCATTCATTTATATGCCACAGTTCACTTTTGACTTCCTTTTCTCCCACAGTCCTTAAATGATTAGATCAGGTGTATGACTTTCTAGCTGCCTGCTTTTCCACAAAGGATATCAGGATGGATGAACTTCACCTAACATTGACTTTTCAGGAATAAGCATAGTGATACAGACTTAGTTGTCAAAATGCATTTTCTAAATGAAATGTGCCAGAATGAGGGTAGAGAGAAAAAATATGCTAGAGCAGAGAGATACAACATTTAAAGGAATCCAGATGTGAGGTGACTTTTTGACACGATGCTGTCTATTTTATGGATTGATTGATTCATATATATAGACACACACATTTTTATTTATTTTTATAGGTAAAAGCTGCTACAAAAAAGATTGCAAATGCCTTTGCCATCTCTGGTCCATTCAACATTCAGTTCTTGGTGCGAGGCAATGATGTGCTGGTAAGAGCTCTTGTGGCTATTGGAGGAAGTCAGGCTCTGCTTTGGCTAATTAGGTGCATGGCTCCTGCATTCCCTGCCATGGAAACTCTGTGGCACCTGTGGGTTTCTGACTGTCTTGTCTGATGATGTGTGGCTCACCTAGTCACACAGCTCTCCCTGTCTATGTAGGGGAGAGCATGGAGGGTGAAGTGAGTCTGACATTGTCAGCACTGGATTTGTTCACTGTGGGGTGCTGTCCTTCCCAAAATTATCAGTTTTGAATATGATGGACAGCAGTGGGACCCGTGCCTCATCCTATGCACTGAACATCATTGCTTTTAGATTTCTGATATCCTCTCTCATTTTTAGCTATTTGATCATTAAAATAAGCCTCCCATAGCATTGGAAAGAAAGCAAGAAAATTTAAGTGTTTAAGCCTTTAATATAAGCCATTAAGATGGTTATCTAAATTTCATAGTCCTAGTAGCTATCACCAGCAGAAGCACAGCCCTCTGACCCTTCATGAGTAACAGCTGACTTTCTGTTGTTAATGGAAGAAGGTCAGAGGAATGTGAGCAGGGTATGACTGAGGAAGTGGTGAATGGGAAGAAAACCTGATGTGTGGTATAGAAGAGATGCATTATTGGTGAAAGATCCTGTTTGAGCTATTGCTTGAGAAAAATGTACTTGCCATTCTTCGCCTTGATTCTGTTTCACACATAATTATTCAGAAACTCTACAGAGGGGAATGCTGGAGTATTTCCATCCTTACTTTCCCTCAGCTGTGCTTGCCATTCTATCTTAACTTACCTATTCTTGCCATCCTTCATTCTCACTCACAGAGATTTCTCTTTTGCTAACAACTCCGTGGTGCTCTTCTCAGCAGAATACAGAACTTCTTTGTTTCTTGCTTGGGTCACTGAATGACTTCTGCATGTGGATGAGGCACATTGGTAAGGATTCTTGTCATTCCTGAAGCGCCATTACCATGGAAAAAGTACAAAGTGGGCTTCTTAAGGCTGTAACTAATGCCTGTGCATAAGTTTCCATGCCTCTTGCACGTTACCTGAGGGTATAGTGCAACACATTTTCCAAAGTGAATTTTGGATTACTCTCAGTTCTAATTTTCATATAACAGAGATGAAACTCAGCTGCAGAACATCAGGCTCCTTGTATCTCAAGCTGGGTACTACCCATCCCTCACTGCTGTTTGTAATTCAGTTTCTGTGTCTTTTAAGTGGTAATCTGATGAGCATCTCTACTAAGAGGAGTAAGGACTAATTTCCAGAAATATGAATCAATCTATTTCTTCACTGCACAGTGTCTGACCCTGGTATTTCTCCTTTTTAATCCCGTCAGGTGATAGAGTGCAACTTGCGGGCTTCACGTTCCTTCCCTTTTGTATCCAAGACGTTGGGTGTGGACTTCATTGATGTGGCCACAAAAGTGATGATTGGAAAAGAGATTAATGAGTCATCCCTCCCCACATTGGAACATCCCATTGTTCCATCCAAATATGTCGGGATTAAGGTATGGTTTCCAAAAGAACACCAAGAAAACCCCACAACAGAGCATTAACAGGCAATTAGTACTTTAATGGCCAGAAAGATTAATTTACTCATTTGCCAAAGGCCAAATTGACCTTTGTAGTTTGTATGATGGTAATGTATGTTGGAAACTTTAGAGACAACTCTAAAGGGAAGGGAAATTAGCCAGTGATTATTAACAAAATCAATCTTCCTTTATCTCTTACTTCTGACCTACTCTGAATCATGTTTATGAACTACATAATGAATATGCACTTGCAGAATTGAACACTTAAGTTCAGGCTGTTTCATAATACTATCTAATATATGCGTGGACATGTGTTTTGAATGCCCCTCCAATTTTATCTTCAGGATCTGGGACATGGCCTGTTGAATGCGTGGAATCCCCTTTATATACACCACCAGTTAAAACAGGAGTGAGTTTTTTAATTTCAGGTCCTTTAATTTCAGCTAAGATTTTATTTTTCATAATTACTAAGCTTATATAGCACCCAAGGTACCAATGTATACTGTAGCTGTTTTGAATACTTAGTGGAAAAAAAAGACTGAGGTTCATCATCATAAAAATCTAGAACAGCAGAGCAGAAAATACAACAGATAATGAGAATTGTTTCTACAAACACTTTGAAGCTTTAATATCTTCCATATCAAGTGAAAATTAAGGGCATAGAAAGCACCTAATGTTCTTCTTCTGATAAAAGACCTATTAAAATATAAGCCAAATCTGTAGCCTAAGTCAGATCAGGTTATTGCCAAGCCAGTCAGTCTAGAAGTAGCTTTACATTTGATTTTGATGCAACAGATATGTATTATCTTAAATTCTAGTCTGAGACCTTTTTATTTTTGTGAACCTCATTTATTTTTATAAATGTCTAGTATTAAGAGCTGGGGCTTCTGCACTGTGGTTAGTTTAACAGTCAAGAGTTTTGTCTCTTCAGGGAATGCTGGCTACAGAGTGGAAAACCCAACTATATTCTGAACGCTTCCCTACAAAGCCTTTTATACAGCATGTATTCTGTGTGGATGTTCTGCTTCAGAATGATATTCCTAAAAATTATAGTGATAGTGGGCTACCACAGATTAGAAATCTGCCATCAGAGTGTGAGCAGGACTGCAAGAGTTAGAAGGATGATATATTGGTGAAATACATGTTTATTTGTTCCAGCCCATCATCAAGATGCTGAGGGAGCTCATTTGCCAAGTGCTCAGCTGCTTACCAACCTTGACCAGTGCTGTTTTTTGGATCGATTCATGTCTGTCTCTTTCTGTCATTTCCAAGTGTAGCTGGATTTTTATATTTTTAAATGATCCATTAAATTTTCATTCTCTCACTCTCCCCCCTCTTCCTTTCACCAGGCTCCAATGTTTTCTTGGTCCCGGCTGAGAGATGCTGACCCTGTTCTCCGATGTGAAATGGCCTCTACTGGGGAGGTAACTTTTGATTTGTTATTTTTTCTTAAACCAAGGGGCCTTAAACATCATGAATCTTTGAAAGTGATCTTATTACTGCCTGAATCATGATGGCATCTGTAGCTTCTTCAGAAAATTGAAAGCATCTTTCATAGCTGTAAAAACACATTCTCCTGGAAAACCCAGTTTATTCAGCCACTGGATGGCCCTCTTTACCTGCATGTCAGCTCCATGAGCTGGACCTAATAGGTGTGACAGCCTGTAATAAGTTTATCTGAGAGCTGTTGGGTTCTGGGAGGTTCTTGGTGGGTCAGTCTGTTTTATGAATCATCTGTTTCTGGAAAGACAAATGCTTACAGCTTTCAAATCCCTCCATTGACACATACCAGAAGAGCAGTATCAAGACTCCAGGTCATGAGCGTTTGGCCTTGGAACGTGCTGGTTACTTAAAGGCAACATATATGTGTGGTGATATTTTTTCTTGTTGCCTTGTAACCATCAAGGCATGTCCCTAGGTGCAAAAGGCAAGGAAGAGTGAATAAAATGTGATGGCTGCAGTACTGGCTGTCAGTAGGATGAGGGGGAGACTGGGCTAGTTTACCCACTCTTTCTATAGCAGGGCTGCGAGTTGCATCTGACATGTGTGCCAAGTGTACACCGGAGACACTGTGAAGGCACAAAGCTGCTCCTCTTCCTGTGTTGGCTCAGCACTGATGGGAGTTCTCACCCCTCAAGGGGTACAGGTTTCCATCTGTGTCAGTTGAAGAGATATTAACTCATGTAGAACAAAGAGGTTTGTTTATGAGTTATTGTGAGCTGTCAATAGTTTCTGTAGATAGACCCAAGCTATCTTTAGACTTGCTTGTTCTGTTACTTGTAAAGAAGAGTTGAAGTAGCAAGAAACTTGTTCTGGGTTAGAAAGCCAACTTGGGAAGTGATTAAATGCTGAGGCAATTAGATTAGGCTTAACTGTGCTCTAACACAGCTAGGCAGGTGGCAGAGCCTGGGCTGCTCCATTTGATGTGAGCTTGGGTATGTCTACATGAGTTGCTTTCATTAGGAAAGCCTTATCATTTTAGTATAAAAAAGCACTATACCCAGATACAAGGTAAGAACAGCCATAGGTTTTCTACATCTCTCTAGAATTACTTTATTTTACTCTTCAGAATGTGTAGGAAATCAGTACTGCAGAAGATTTCAATGTAGTTAATAGGCAGATAAAAGCCAAGTGACTTCATGACTTCCTTATTTTCAGAACAAAATTGACTACAGAGGCATCCCTCCCCCCCAAAAAAAAAGAGAAAAAGAAAAAAATGTAACTAAGGGCAAGAATTATTTTTCTGAGCTTTATATGGAGTTAGCAATTACCTTGGTCATAAAGAAGGGATTATTAACTTTTACGAGTTGGAAAGATCCATATTCACAAATGCCATAAAATGTGACAGTTATGAAAGTCTTTCTTATGAGTAAAGTAAGGATAATAGCTTGCTTTGGGTAAAGTGCTCAATTATTCCTCAAAGACTTTCTTCACACACACACGGCTTGGATTTGTCACATTTGTCTAGCAGAGATGTATTTTGCTGGAAGTCATGGTTCCCACAACAGTAGAAGACACAGTGCTTGGGGTCCCTTGGTGTATTATGACTGTTTTGACCACACCATGATAAACCTCTCCTGGCAGACTGGAAACCCCTGCTCCAAGCCTTACAAGGCTGTCTACTGCCCTGCAGTCCAGGACATATGTAGTCCCTCAGCCAGATACACTGCAGAACAGCCTGAATACTCAAGGATGAGTGTTTAGAGAAAAGCTGACATACTAGTTGTCATTATTTGAATAACCTGCTCTAGGGGAAGGTGTCCCTGCCCATGGCAATGGGTTTGAACTAGATGAGCTTTAAGGTCCCTTCCAACCCAAATCAGCCTGTGATTCCCTAGTGGGATGTTTGTTTGTTTCATTGCTCTTTTATTAATGCACAAAATCTGGCAAATCATCAATTATTGTTCTCATACCATGAAATACTGGTTTCTGCTCACCATGGTAATAGCCCATGAATGTGAGTGCTCACTTTGTGATGGGAAGGACCATAAGAGGAAAATGGGACAGCAATTCTTCATAAGCCCCTTTATCCGATCTCTGTGTGTAGATTTGTTATTTCAAAGGGAAAAATCTGTGGCAGTTTCTGCTTCTGGTTTTCAAGACATGTGTAACTGGTCAGAAAAAGTGAGGATTGGTTTGGTTGGCTTTTCATTTTGTTTTCTTTTTGTCATTTTTAATTTTCACAAACATTTGTGCATTCCTCTTTGTCATCAGAATCCCAAAGTTTAGAAAGGAACACACTTCAGTTCCTTCAGAAGATCATTACCACCTGTGAGCAACTGAGCTCCACAGGCAGTTCTGAATGATGGTGAACTGCTAAATTATTTGTATTGATTTCTTTATCAGGTTTTAGTTTATATAAAATAAATTACTATGATTTAGCATGATTGCTTTGTTCTTTTCTTCCAGTGCCTAAAGGGGGCCTACAAGGACACTGCAGAAGGACTTTTTACAAGAGCATGTAGTAACAGGACAAGGGGGAATGGCTTTTACCTGTCAGAGATTGAGATGAGCTTTTAGGCAGAAGCTCTTCCCTGTGAGGGTGCTGAGGCGCTGGCACAGGGTGCCCAGAGAAGCTGTGGCTGCCCCATCCCTGGCAGTGTTCAAGGCCAGGTTGGACACAGGGGCTTGGAGCAAGCTGCTCTAGTGGAAGGTGTCCCTGCCCGTGGCAGGGATTGGAGCTGGATGAGTGTTAAGGTCCCTTCCAAAACAAACCATTCTGTGTTTTTTACTTGAATTTCATACATCTGTGGACTTCAAATGGAAAAGGTATCTTTTTATAACGTGGTTTACTCACAACAAAGTCCAGAAGTACCTGGCAGCACCAGTGCCGTCTTAGCCCCATTTGCAGTGTGCACACAGTGCACCACCGTGCCTGCCTGCAGAACACTCACTGCTGTTTTAGCATTATGTAATGTTCAACAATTTGCAGTGTGCTCCCAAAGATCGAAGCTGTGTACAGCATTCCCATAACTCAGCAGAATCAATTGTTGTTACTCCTTGGTGTGCTGTTTGAAACTAAAGCGTTGCTGATTCCTCCATTATTGCTTCATTAAAATGATGAGATTTGTCTGCAGCAATTTTCTGATTCCTGCCCCCCCACCCCCCCCCCATGCAGGCTCCATACAAAAGCTGTCTGATTTTACATGGAGCAGTCAAAAGAGCCTATTTAAAGAATTCATCCTGTTTCTTTTTAAAGCAATGGGGTTGGTTTGGGTTTTTCCCCTCATGCTGCCTTCTTTGTTTCTTTGCCAGGTCGCATGCTTTGGGGAGGATGTGTATTCTGCCTTCCAGAAGGCTATGCTTGCCACTGGGTTTACATTCCCTAAGGAAGGAATTTTGATTGGAATCCAGGTGAGTCCTGAAAATCAAATCTGAGGAAGGACTGACACAGAGAAACTCAGTAACTGTTGCCTTGTTTTCATTCAAGTGTATGGCTTAAATGTGTTTCTCGGCAATCCATCTTGAAGAAGATACTCTTGAGTTCAGAGTAATGTCCTAGCTAGAACTCAGAGCCCCTTCCTTGCTTTCTCCCAGATGGGCACCCTGAGGATGCTACTTTCCAATCCTAATATATAAACTCCCTTCATATGCACATTGTCTCTTGCCTTTTGGAAACCAGTCCTCCTCCATCCCCCCAGAATGGTGAGGCAGTTTCCATACTGCAAAGCTAGACCTGCTGAGCTTTCCATTTCATTCCAGGCAGACCTGTAGCCTCATCTGACTATAGAAAACATGATATTGCCATCATGCCCTCAAAACAGGTTGCCCAAGGAAGGTGTGAATGCTCCATCCCTGGCAGTGTTCAAGGCCAGGTTGGACAGGACTTGGAGCAACCTGGTTTAGGGGAATGTACCTCTTCTGTCCATGGCAGGGGGGCTGGAACTGGATGATCTTAAGGTCCTTTCCAACCCAAACCATTCTGTGATTTTATGTTTTTAGGGTGTTATGGGATAGTTTTTGGTGTTTATATATATATACTATAGTTATAACACTGTCAGGCAATAAGACCTCCACCAGGTACGATGCTGTCATGATCCTCTCCTTGCTGGAGTCATGGTGGGAATATATTTGAGTGCAGTAGGGCAAGGGATTAAAGGACAGCAGTCTTCACCCTGCAGCCTGCTTTCCTGGCTGCCTAGAGGCATGGCTGCCACTATTCCTTTCCCTGTTTGGTGATGGTGCATGGCCAATATTGTTCCCTCCCATGCAGCTCCTGTCAGCTAGGAGTCAGTAGCTCAGAAAAGAAGGACCAATGCTACATTTGTGAAGTAGTGTTTCTGGTTTCTGTATCTTGCCTCTTTGAGACTTCCTCTCAGACACATGTTCTGCAGGTCCAATGATTCCATACCAGAGTAGAGCTTGGACTTTAGGGGGTTAGGTATTACTGCTTGTAAGAAGCTTATGTCCTACAGGATTGCATAAAGCCAATAAAACAAAAAGAATAGATGAATTTTCCTGTCAGACAACTGGGGTGTGAAAAATGTGTTGGGCTGCCTGTGCCAGCAGAGGATGTGAAGGAAGTGCATGAAAAGTGACCAGAATGGAACATGACTTCTGCTAAGACAGATTACTGCTTTGTCCTTAAATATACACGTGTGTACACACATCTGCAGATTGAAGCTGTTGCTCTAAGATACCTCAGGTTAGCAGAAAAGTCTTTGCTTGCTGCCTAGATAAAGTGTAAAAGTTCAGTATGAAACTCTGGGCAGTTGTTGCTGTATGTCTGCTGTATATCTAATCACTGCACATTTTAAACCAGAATTTGAAAAAGGGGAAAATAAAAGCCAGGAGAAGAAAATAAAAGGATAGAGCTCAGTGTTTAAAATTTAAGCTTATTTTCCTTATAGCAGCTAAAAGTGAGCAGGCAGCAGAGAGTAATTTTAGCTATAGAAAGCATTTATGTAGGTTCTGTGTCAGTATCTGCTAAACTGAGCCAAATATTTTTTGTACAAAGGTCTTAACAAAAATAAGAAGGGGAAGGAAAAGGTAAAACAACCCCAAAAGCTCAACCTCCCAAACCTTTTAAAAGGAACAAGATTTTGTCCTCTTTAATGAGTGGTTTACAGTTCATTTTCTTGAAAAAAAACCTTGGAAACAACAGATCAATCACATAAAGGTCTCTCTTCATCTCAGCATATTTCTTACATAATTAAACTCCAAAACAAGAACTGTAAAGTTAATGCTGAGAACCACGGATTGCTCCCTCACAGCTCTGGAGTTTGTCACCTACCTCCTTTTCAATGGTTTGTTTTGAAACAGAGGGGAAGCAAAGCCTTGTAAGAAGGGAAGGTTGAAATCCTGACCTAGACCTGAAGTGTAGCCTATGAGTGGTCTTCCTTGAATATTAAGGGCTGGAGAAAAGGGGAGCCTCTCACTGCAGAAGCAAGGAATGGGGCATAAGGTGGGTTGTGAACACCGGCAGCCTTGTTCTCATTTTAATCACAAACATGGGGTCATTTACCTCAAAGAGGCAAAGCTGTCAGTGTATCCTCAGAGGGGAAATACAGTCTTAGAAGGACAGATGCCAGGTCACCCCTCTCCACAATCAGTATTTAAATGTCATTGCTGTGAGGGGGTGACAGGGTGGAGGTGTCTCCCCAGGCAGAGGTCCTTGGCTTTCTAACTGCAGGATGGTTTCTGCAAGCTGTTCTGCTTCACTTGCGGCTGATTCTTATCAGGACCACATACATCAGACCACTTGGTTGTCCTTGAGGAAGGTGCGATGTTCCATCTGCAGTGGATGGTGAATTCCAAACATATCCTGCTTTTGGAGGTTTCATTGCTCCATGACTAGCAGCTTGCTCTGATTTTCAGACTGGACTTCTAACATTTGCAGGCAGAGAAATAAGAAGCCAAATGGGTGACATGGTTTAGTGGGAGGTGTCCCTGCCCACGGCAGGGGGGTTGGAACTAGATGGTCTTAAGGTCCTTTCCAACCCTAACTATTCTATGATTCTATGAAATGGTCTTGAACTCTGTTTCCCTTAAAGGTGTTTAGACTCAACGTATTTGTGTTGTTTGGTATCCTGCACCTTGATTACGTTGAGGTGAGAGGAGGCTTCCTTCTTGAAGGCATCAAATAGATGTAGTTAACCATAGTAGAGAGGGAGATCTTGATTTCCTTGCAAATATTTCACTCTGGGGTAGTTTGCAAATCAAGGGTCCAATGACTGTGCTGTGATCTGCACTCCAAACAGGTTGCAATAATGAATCCAGCCTTACTGAGGGGCTCCCACATTGATGTGCTTACAGGTTGCAGTTCCAGTGGTAATCCTACTAGGATTATGTTGCTAACAAAGCAATCCTCCTCAGGGTCAAACAGGCGAGCACTCACTGAGGTCTGTGGGACAGCACAAGGCAGGTTGGGCAGCCGGCCAGGACCATGAGCGCACTGGGGTGTCCTTCCCTTGTGAGCACTCTGACATTGCATGGGTCAAGGTTCCACTGGATTTTAAAGGCCTGAGACTCTCCCATGGTAAACGGAGAATGGCTTTCTCATTAGACAGATGAATCTGTGCCAGTTTATACAAGTTGATGGTCTGACCTCTTTTCACAATCTGAAGAAATCCATGATGCTGAAACCCTGAGCCTGCCATTAAGCAATTTATATTTTATGCAAGAGGAGTTGAAAAGCTCATTTTATTTTCTTCCCTGATTGGGCTATTCAGTGATATCTCTGGGATGGAATGCGTCTGTCTTACATCTGTGCTGGTGACCACGAGATGCAGAAAGCATTGATGGAGTATTTTATTTTTAAATCTCAGCACTCCCAGTCTGTTGTTTCAAGGTAACCTTCTGCCTTGGTTCCTTACACAGCAGAGTTTCTGCAGGCTCCATGCTGCATTTGAATACAGGATTCAAGATTATCACAGGAGATGAGTGGGCTTCATTTTGAGTTGAATCTCAGTGAGAACTGGTGTAGTGGTATTGAATTAACTGAAGATGTAACCCTTCACAAATAGCAAGGCATGCTGGAGAGAGGTTATATGAGATAGAATGTTTCTGATAAAGGAAAAGGGTGCAATTCGCCTACAATAAATATCTCCTACTACATAAATCTGCTTGTACTTTTCACCTTTAGTAACTAATGGTTTCTTACACAGGTTCTTTCAGGGAGCTTGTAAATCTGAGGCAGCTCGGATGCAGGCTGACAGCTGTAATTTCTTTCCATGGAGAGGCTGTTTTATGTGTCACAAGTGTTCAGTACATGTTTGATAGAAGTTTATAATAGTGTTGTGAAAGCCTGACCCTGACCAGAAGGCAGAACCATTCTCTCTGACTGGGAAGCTGCCAACCCTCTCACATTGTGTATTTATATTTTCCAGTTAGTGTACAGAATGAGGTGGCTTTCAGAATAAGGCTCTTTGCAGAGTGCTCAGAAAACCCTTTTTGTTTCCCTTTCTTCGTAGGAAATCATTCACCCTTCAGAATATCAAAATATTGAGCTCTTACCCATAAAGGTTAAGCTATGAATAGCTCCAGCAGTGACAAGGGAGCTTGCAGTAATCTTACTTGCAAATGGCCATGCTAGGCTAAGGGTAAAAGCAAGGTTTGCCCTGCCTTGGCGTTGAGAAGTGCATGTGTTGCATCCGATCTTTGCGTTGCTGCACCTCCAGCATCCTGAAGAATGTTATGCTGGGTGCAAATTTTCACTCACCTGTAGCTCCAAAATGGTTTGTTCAAGTGCAGATGCCTACATGAGGTCCTCTTATCTTTACTTCCAAATGCTGTTAGGTGTGGGTATGTATTATGAATTACATATTTCCTTTTTCCAGAAGTCCTTCCGCCCCAGATTCCTCAGTGTAGCGGAGCTGCTGCATAAGGAAGGCTTTAAGGTAGGTTCTTTCAGTTATTTAAAGCTAGAGTGTTTTCAAAATCTCAGATGACCTCAGCCTGCTACAGAAATGGAGAACACTGAAATTTATTTGGAGGTAGAGGAAAAAAAGATGTTTTTTTGAAGTATAAGAGGTTTTTTAGCCAAGTGATCCGTAAACCAGAAGTTTTCGTGATTGTTTAGTTGAACATAGGGGACTGTCATGAGGGAAAGAACAACCCTGGCTCTGCTGTCAGCCTACAGCCAGGATTTTGTTTTATAAACTTGTGGTTTAAGCCCAGCCAGCAGCTCAGCCCCACACAGCCACTCACTGCCCCCAGTGGGATGGGGAGAGAACTGGAAGGGTAAAAGTGAGAAAACTCATGGATGGAGATGAAGTAGGTAAAGCAAAAGCTTCCCACACAAGCAAAGCAAACCAAGGAATTCATTCACCAGTTCGCATCACAGGCAGGTGTTCAGCCATCCCCATGAGAGCACGGCTCCATCACCCATAACGGTGACTTGGGAAGACAAACGCCATCAATCTGAATGTCCCCCCTTCTTACTGCTCCAGCTCTATGTGCTGAGCATGATGCCACATGGTCTGGGATATTCCTTTGGTCAGTTGGGGTCAGCTGTCCTGGCTGTGTCCCCTTCCAACTCCTTGTGCACCCCCAGCCTGCTGACTGGTAGGGTGGTGTGAGGAGCAGAAAACACCTTGGCTCTATGTAAGCATTGCTCAGGTGTACCAAAACCATCCCTGTGTTATCAACACTGTTTCCAGCACAGATCCAAAACATAGCCCCATACCAGCTGCTATAAAGAAAATGAACTCTATCCAGGCCAAAACCAGCATAAAACTCCTCTAAGCGCTCTACAAGATACAAAAATGCCAACAGGATGCCACATATGGTAGGGGGAGAGGAAGGGGAAGCCTTTTGTGTGGAGAAGGTCTTTCCAATGCTTCATCTTCAGTACTACTCCCAAGCTGCAGACAGCTTTTGGTGGTGTTTACATCCCTCTTGTAACTCTTCTGCATAATTTTGCATCCATATCCCTACTGAAACATAACTGACAACGCAGCCACAGAAGATTGGTGAGAGTATTTGAGTGCTATTTTCCTCAGTGGCATTAGTGTAGCTACTGGATTTATGGATTTACAGCTCTCCCTTTCAAAGCTTGGTGCCTAGGCCAAAAAAGAGCAAAATTACAAGAGGCTGAACTTAAGCCCTGTTGAATGTCAGAGGGATTTAGGTTTTACTAAGCCACTTAACTGCTTCTGAATGTGTTACGACCATTCATTGACTATCATCCATTGGCAAATCACAGACAACAGAGAGATGGGAAAGTCATGCTGTTCTCTGTGTGTGTCCCTGTGTGGAGAGACACCCTTGTGATGAAAAATGCCCTCCAAAATCAGCTCTGACAAGCAGGCTGTGTATTGGATCAGACCCACATGCAGTAAATGAACAGTTTGGGTATTATAAAGCACACAATAAGTAACCTTTTTTCCCTTAACAGCTTTATGCCACAGAAGCAACCTCAGAGTGGCTCAATGCTAATGGTATCCCAGCAATTCCTGTGGCATGGCCATCACAAGAAAGCCAGAGTCCAAGCCTCCCTCCGGTCAGGAGGTAGGAGTAATACCCACCTTGTCAAACTTGTGTTAACATCCAGGACCGCAAATAGAAGGGGCAAATTGCTGGCTCTATGAAGATCAATGATAGTGATCTAACGGAACTTCGGAGTGAATCTAAAAGTCTTGCTTTATCTGATTCTGTCTGGAATTGCCACAGCAGGGAGTTTTCAGCTTAGTTAATGAACATCTTATTGAACAACCCTGTTTAACAGGGCTTGGATGTATTGCTCCGTGTTACATTTTCACACAAGGATACATGACATCTGTATATTTTAGTCTCTAATGACAGTCATTCATGCCTTTAACAAAATTGTGCTGAGCTTCTTGCAGGCTGAATATTGCTTTGTATCACCTAAATAGAACAGAAATAAAGCCTGAACTCCTGAGCCACAACTTAGTGCCTTTAACTCCTCAACCTTCCTCGAGACTAAGCTCAAAGGAACATTTTCAGTGTTGTTTACCTCCATGGCTGTCTTATTCATCATAGGTTTCCATTACACAAGACACACTGTGATGCTTTCTTGTGCATTGTCTCTTCAGGCTGGTAAGGGATAGGAAAATAGATCTGGTCATTAACCTGCCTAACAGCAACACCAAGTTTGTCCATGATAATTATGTGATCCGGAGGATGGCTATCGACAGCGGGATTCCTCTGCTCACTAATTTCCAGGTACTTCCCATGTTGCTCTTTCTCCTTTTAGCTGTAAGAGCTTTCAAGCACTTGTGACCTCAGATTTCAGTGTGTTGGGACCCTCATTATCTCTGACAAATAGCAGCGTGCATGCAAACCATGGCAACGCAATGGTTTGAATGTGTATTCTTTTTGCTCCTATACAAAATAACATTGCTCAAAGTTAAACAGTGGCACAAAATGAAGACAATCTTGAGTCCTGTAGTGCAGCTGTAATTGTTCCTGTATCATTTTGACTTCTGAGCAACCTTCTTGCAAAGGATTGCCTGTAACATGTTTAAATTATGCATAGGAACAGTTCTTTTGTGGGATGTTTTTCCCAGGATGGTTCTTAAGCCTTACAGCAGGATGTAGCAAGGCTTTCTTGAATGAGCCTTGGGGCAATCCAGTTCCAAAATGCCATCCAAGTGGAATTGCTGCCTGTGCTGTTGTAGTCCCCAGTTGCCAGTCATTGTGTGTTTGTCGATCCTGATAACCCCCTTTCATATACTGATAGGGGAAGAGATATTTAGTAATGCAAAGTGGGACTCCTGCTGCCAACAGTGCCTTGACTTCCTTTGCAAATGGCTTTGACTGTCACAAGAGCCTCATCTGGCTCTCATTAAGCACAACAGCCAAATTCCCATTGATTTCAGTGGGCACTGACATGGAACCCAGTGACTTGAACTGGTGTCCAGCTGTGCGAAATCTTCTGCTGTGATTGGAGTGAGTGGAGAGCATAGAGAATGCCAAGCTGCAAATTCATAGGCAGGATAATGCCAAACATCATTAGCAGGAATGGAAATCGAAGACCCATCCTTTGCCTACCAGTGAAACACACACTGACAACCAAAGCAGGGGTCCCCATCCAGAATTGATTACCACACCTGCTTGATGCATTTCATTGAACCCTTTTGATGGCGGAGTTTTAATTCCCTGAGCTTGAGAGAGGAAAACAACCCTGTTTTCTCTTTAAGGCTTGGGCTGTAGGAGGAAACAACAGCTCTCATGGGACAGAGCTGTCTTCCCAAAGCAGCCCAGCACCTCTACATTTCTCCAGCAGGACAAGCAGGCTCCAGAGGGCTGGAGGAAACAGCCATGAACAATCACCTTGAACCTGATATTGATTTGGAGGGACTCAAGGACTGAACCTTCACAGGGTAGTTTCAGGGTGACAGTGTAGAAGTGTGGACCCTGCTCTGTTACTCACCCTTCTGCAGAAGGCTTTGCAATGCTCAGTCCTCCTCTGCTTTATATTGACAGGTGACAAAGCTTTTTGCTGAAGCTGTCAAATACTCTGGGAAATTGGACTCCAGGAGTCTCTTCCACTACAGACAGTTTGAAAATGGAAGTACTGCATAGAAGAACTATCTCCAACCTTCAGTCTTACTGCTTCTGGCACCACAAAACAGAGGGGTTCTCACATCAGTCATGTAACTGATAATACATAATACATAACCATGTATTTTATACCATCTGTGCTGATTGTATTTCCACCTCACATAAGTAATTCCTAGCCAATACTTCAGATGGCTCAGTGGAAAGCCATCCTCTACGCAGCCGCTCCATCATCTTCTTCCCATTTCCACAGAGGATCAGGTATTAATTACTTGCTAGGTCCAGTCACCACCATAGGAGAGGAGATGAAAGGAGATACAAATGATACTACATGGGCTTGGTTCCTTCTTTTCATAACCAAGACTGCTCCTCCTTAGAAATGCCTTCCTTGGGCCTGAACTCCCAGCTATTCTCATGCTGGACTACTAGAGCCTGGCCCCAAACTCCCATAGAAAGACACGTATTTTTCCCTTTCCATTGCTGATTATTGAGGATGTTACGACTTTATGTAACAAACAGTCTGCTGTTTGATCCACCCAGTGGTACCATGGATACCTGCCACAATGATATATGATAGGAGCTCTTTAAAGGCAGGGGAACAGGAATTCCCCATGACTCCCTACAACAGCTGACAGACTTTATGCAGCTATGTTTTGCTTGGTTTGTAACCGTGGCCAAGAATCATCATCTTCAGCCTATAGATTTGATAGAGAAGAAGGCTGTTATGTGTGTGTCTTGGAATTGCTTCCAAGTTCTGCTCAATCCTTCAGGCTGTCGTTACCATTATTAATTCTGTTTCTGAATTCAGGTAGCTCTCTCTGTATCATAAAGGCTGTTTCAGCTTTGTATCAGGCTCCAGAAGTGGAGAACTCCCCCCAGACTTCTGTGTGTGGCTGTCCACCATTTTGTCATGACATGGGAGCTGGGTACCACCCAGCAGTGCTTTTTCTGAAGCTATCAGCTCTGAAAGCATCATAGAATACCAGGTTAGAGGGGACCCTAAGGATCATCTGGTCCAACCTTTCTTGGCAAAGCATGAGCTAGACTCGATGTCCCAGCATCCTGTCCAGCTGAATCCTGAGTGAGCAGAGGCTATGATGCCTTTGGGTACCATGGGGCTCTCTGAAAAATAGGTGCTAAGTGCCAAGACCAAATTTTGAACCAGGTGTGGACTTCAATTCTGATGTGGTTGATATCCCAAGTGCTCTTGTCATGGGCATTGCTTCAGTACTAACTCTTGTGGTGAACACAGCCCTGCCTGCCATGCGCAGAGCTTTGCACTGTTAGAGGTGTTACTGAAAAAAACAAAACAAACACACAAAACCCCAACAACAAAAAAAAAACAAACCAAAACCCATGCTTTGGGCAGAGGAGCCCAAAGCCATCAGTGTTCACCCGTTCAGTTGTGAAATGCATGTCTAATGGTGGTTGGAGAAGCAGCATGGAAGTGCATCCTGCATGTTATTTTCAGTGGCAAAAATCCCACTAACAGCTGGTGTCATCTTACAGCCCCCCACCCTGCTTTATCTCTAGGAGTGGAGAAAACAACAGTGCAACACATCAGAATTCTCTTGTTCTTCCTCTTCTATTTTGTCACTTCTCTTGTGAGCTGAAAATGAAATAAATGCCTTGGATTGTGACAGCTGCTCAGCTGGAATTCTGCATGGCCTGGATTCTCCTGTTTATTTCTTTAAGTATTTATTTATACAGTTTTAAGTATTGATGAGCACTGGCCTGATGAAAGACCATTATTCTTGCGTTTGACAGTGAATGCATCATTTAATGCAAAGCTGCTGTGTGCCTCAGGTGAGGAAGCGAAGGGGAAAGAGCAGCAGGACAAAATGAATACTCTTCCTCTTCAGCTGCATGTACACAAGGGAAAGGAGGAGCCCTGGTTCCCCAGGAGGGACAGTGAAATGTAAATGAGGAGCCAAGTGATAGAGCAGGGGGCAAGGAAACATCGGAGAGATGGGAACTTTAAAGAAGGGGCTGTCAGTTTTGGAAAATGGGAAAGCCTTTACTGCTTCTAATTCAAGTTCTTAAACATTCTCCTGCCTATACCTGACAGTGTCAGTGTATGTGTATCTGCGTATACATAGCACCATAGAATGGTTTGGGTTGGAAGGGACCCGCAAAGCTCACCTACTCCAACCCTGTGCAATGAGTAGGAACACCTTCAACTAGCTCACGTTGCCCAGAACCACATCCAGTCTGGCTTTACACATTCCTGTTGTTACTTATTGCAGCAGCTGCAGATACTTAAACTGCAGCTGCTTTGGTGTCCACAGACTCTCACATAATTAGAGTGGAATTTAGTAGAAAAATACACCAGGTCTGAATATGTACTGAGTACTCTGTAATTATGTAGTGATAATGTTTTGTTTCTGGTGCTAAACACTGGTCACTTCCCCACTCTCCTGAAGCAGGTGACACTAATGTCCTTCCACCCTTAATCAGACCCATCTGTATCTACACTACCCCCTGTGCTGTCTTTTCCTCCACCTCCCTTTGGTGTCTCATCCACTTCCCCAGTTCAAGAAGCTCTTTTTGCTCTGACTGATGCAAGATGGAACTCATAACTCCTACCATGGGCAAAAGGAGCCAAGAAACCATCTTCCAGTTTACAGTGTGCAAACATTTGAGAGCTGGTTGACTTTGTTTCTCAGTAAGCTTTCCTTTTTTGTGTAATGAAGGTATGGACACTATAGGGAAAGATTTTGAGGTATCTATTGTTGGGATCAGTGCAGAGCTGAAAAAAAAGGTTGCAATTAATATCCTTTGTACAAAGCTCAGCATTGCTTTCAACAGATCTTCTTTATAAATGTCTGTTTCTTATTAATCTTGGGGAGGGTGACAGTAACAGATGAAAGGGGATGCTGTTCAGAGCAAGAAATTCACTAATCTATGAGCAGTCAAGTAACTTTATTCTTTTTTACTGTTGATAAAGAGACATATGAAGATGCGGGAGACAGTCCAGAGCACAGCTTTTGAGATAAGCACAAGAAAAGTTGGCAAGAGCCATGGTGAAATGTGAAGGGACCTGAGTTTTAGTAAGAGAGACTGGTTTCTTTTTCTTGGTAGTCAGCCTGGAGCCATAACTCTCCAAGTGTGCCAAGGGCTGGGAGGCTCTGGAGACTCTGTTTCCCAGGAGGCACTGCTTAATATTGAGGCCAGGCCCTTTACCCAGTTGATCACCTTCTTGGATTTACTCTTCTGCCATTAGCACCATTTAAATCACATGGAGATGGCTCAGGCAGCAGCTGCAGGGTTAGTAGCAAAGCAGTGGTAGTTCAGCATGTTGAAGGCAAGAAGAAAAGAATGAAAGAGAGTGAAGACAATTTATTGCTGCCTGGTAGAGGAATTAAAACAGGGAGATGAAAGGTTATGCTTTATATAAATGGGGAAAGAAATAGTAAAGAGCTCTAAGAAACCTCTTTACTCTGAGGCCACTTGAAACAGTGAAAATCAGGTTTCTGAAAGTCCTGGGAAGTAGTCAAGTAGGAAAGACACCATGATCTTGGCAGTGAGCAGAGAAATAAGTCTTGTTTGGCTTGCAGGTCTCTGAGTTTTCCTGGACTGGATATTGCCACCAGGCTGGAAGGCATCTTTTTCTCCTTCCCCCACATACCAAGTGTATTTTGCACTCTCAAGGATTAAAAGCCTATTTGTGCTTTGGTTCTCTGTGCTTGCATCAAAAGCATCTTGGTGTCTGGCTGGGAGCTTAGCACCTCCGTATCTTGTGATCCATAAAAGCAGGGAAGGGGTTGGAAGCTGGCACTATACTAAACCCCACAACCACAGTGTGTGTGCAATACCAGCAGCTGGATGCATGCCTGCTGCCTGTATCCCACTCAGATGTGAACAACCACTAGCAAGAGGGTGGGCTCATGCAACAGCCAAGATGAGGTGGTAAAAGGAGACAGCATCTCTGACTCCTGCTGTTTATGGTGTTTGTAACACCAAATTGTAGTTAGAGTAGCCCTGGACCTTGGGAGCCTTTCAGCAGACAGAATTAGTGCTGTTGTCATCTCAACAAAGACAGGAGGTGCTGCCATGCTGTATGAAGCACACGAACGCTACTGCTATAGCCAGGACATTGAAATCTGCTATTCTACAACTGTCAACTGCCAAATAGTACCCAAAGCTTCTGCTTTTAGTTCCTTCTGCATCCCAGTGTCTAACATAGCCTAATGTACTTTTTAGGGAATAATCTAGTTACGCTGTAACATTTGTTTCACCCTTACATTGAAGAGAATTTAAATATGAACCTTTTAATATATCCTAATTAAATGGAGAACATGATATTCTGTCATTAACTTGGTGTAGGCTAAACTCTTACCCAGCCTCATAATTAAGTTATATTGAACCCTGCAGACTGATAATAACAGCTGAGAGAAACTCAAGGAAGTTTGTCATAGATGAAACTGAGAGACAAAACCATTTGTTAAGAATGATATTCAAGCTTAATGATAATGTACTTTGGGGAAAAAAGGAATAATTGCTAGGGAGCAATGTTAGTGCTTTGGGATTACCATAATCTTGGATAAATGCTCTGGATCACCAAAAAAACAGTACCCAAGAGTAGCAAGTGCCTCTGTTTCACGGGGAGCTGCAAGAAGTGCTAAGAGTTTGTAGTTCTGGCAGAATTCTTTCTCCAAGGGAAAGTTTCTTGTTATTAAAGGTCAAGTTTTTTCTCCTATAACATGGAGTTTCTTCAGCTCTGTGGATGTGGTTTTTTGTCAGTCTTCAGAGTTGCTTACACTACTGCAAAGCCAGCATAATGTTGCTGTGCTGATTTTTACAGTGCTTTTAACCTCTGGTATAAATGATTGCCCAAGATACTCATTGTAGAGAATCAGGTGCCTTTGCAGGAAAAACTTTTGCTCTTCCAGCTCTAGACAATCTTGTTCTTTTTCCTGACTTCCTGAGCATTACTAAATGCTGCCAAGCTCTTGCCCTTCAAGATCTCTTGTAGTAATGAGACCTCATTATAGCTTAAAACAGCCCTCTGCTATTCACTGTCTTTGAGAGGCATTACAATCCATCCCCTCATGACAGAAGCACTTGGAACAACTCTTAGGAAAGTGGGTTATGTTCTGACTAAGCATCATGGGGCATGGGTTGAAGTGTTTGCTGCCTTTCAGGATTCATGGGAGACAGAATGCTGGAGGGGAAGAAGTCAAATATGACCTTGAGGGTCAAACCTGAGCCTTTAGTCAAGTTCTGAATGCATTGATGTGGCCAGCTGGAAGCAAATACATAGTGTGTTCTTACTGCCAGCAGGTCTGAGTTCTTAGTAATAAGCATTGAAATCTTTCATAGTGGTCTTCCAACAGCTATAAAGGTACCAGTATTTATCTAGTTTGCAACTTGGCCTGAGCTGTTGATCCTGAAATGAGGGCCTTGGCAACTCTGTGCCATTTATATCTCATTTGAATACCCAAGCACATGATGCTCAGCAATACTACCTCATGGGGAATCCCTCCTATGCAGTTTTGATACAGACAACAAAACATGGTTGGCATGAGGTAAGCAAAAAAGTAACAGTGTGAGAAGGAAGTATATGCCCATGTCATCATGGACATCAGTAACGTATAGTAATGCCATTCACCATCTGAACACTGTGCAAACCACACAGAGAAAATACAGGCTCCTAAGAGCACTTGGGCACAGATAGAGAGTACAGGGGAAGAAGGATTGACATTGAAGTTGCTGGGCAAATCCCAGATTACTGGCTTTCATTTGTTAGTAAATGCTTTTAAGTCATTTCTGGTAGATATGATAGTCTCAGAGGCTGTTATACTTTGAAAGGGCTGGAAGCTATTCCAAGTGCAAGGGAAGTCATGCTCTGCAGTTAGCTGGGAGAGAAACAGATGGGTGCAGCATCAAAATCAGAAATACCAGAGTTCAACTGATAGTCCTTCTCCATCCTCCTGCTCTCCTCATGCAGTTCAGGCTGGATGAGATGTGCTGCTAGGCATGTTTCTGTTTGAAACTGCAGCAGCATCTGATACAGAAAGAGAGTGAACGTGGGCCACAAGCAACATCTGCACAAAGCAAATCACCTGGCTATGCTGTGGTCTGAGCTACTACCACTGTTACTCTCCAACTACAGCACCTAAATGAGTGCATGACAAAACAACCACTTTCAATTTCTGTTTTCACTAGCATGAATATACCTGAAATGAAGCTGGAGACATCCAGCTGTTCTGAGATGAAAGTACCTCTGAACAGTTAATAAAGATCTGAGACCTCAGTGGAGAGGAGAATGGCAATTATATAAAAGCATATCCAAGAGTTCCTCGAAGATTGCATTTCTGTCCTGTGGGATCTAAACTTGGCACAATATCACTGTTCTGTATATTAGTGTGAGCCTAGGCATCCTTAAGTAAAAGCTGATATGTTTTTAAATTAACTGCAGGAAAACCAGCCTCAACAAATTCTGCTCACTATCTGCCATCAGGAAAAGCCTATTAACAGTAATTGCTGGGGCTTTAGTTTTCAAAGAAGCCATAATTAGATTTTATTGTCTCATAAGTGATTAGAATTAATTGCTTCCACACTAGCTCTGGTGCTCTTTATCTGCTTTAAACTGGGAGTGGCTCTTCTGCAGAATTCCTTCATTTACCACAATCC